GCGAAATTACAAAAAACTCGAAAACGACGGTTACAAATTAATGATACTTCTGATTTAAATGAACTGCAACCAGAAGCAAATCTTGATGAAGAGAATGAGGATAGTTATGAAGCAAATCTTATCAAATTTGAACAAGGAATTACACAGAGGGGGGCTATCAGCCTTTGGCATACAGGTTTTATTTAGATATTGAATTATTAAATTAGATTTTTTGAGGATATCGATATGTTAAGAACAGAAATATTCATTGGCGGTGTTCAGTCTTGGACTGCCAGGCAACTGCAAAAGCTGAAGAGAAAAATGGCCAATTTGTAGGTACTTTAGGACAAAAAGAGCATAATCATCCTCCAGCAATTCAAAAAAAAGTTTGTGAAGAGCTTAGAAACAAATTGAAGAAGGATAAGAGACCAGTTCTGGGAGAAGTACGAGCAAATATCCCAGATGAAGTTTACATTGCCTTGGGTAGTGATGATGCTTTAAATCAGCTTATAAAAAGGTTTATTTTCATTGTTTCCTTTCAATAAATCACCCTCATTTTAGACAAAAAAAGAAAAAGTTTGGGAACGTTAATTGCGTGGATCTTGGAAAAATGGTTATTCCAGCGTTTTTGACACAAAAATACAACTCATCAACGTTGATTTACGACAGTAGAGATGAGCGTGGAAATGAGGATGTTGTTCTTATCTTTAGCCATGCAAGGGTTAATTTTAATAATTTTGAACTAGTATTATTTTTGAAAATTTAGTTGCTCGATATATTATCTCAAAATAAGCATTGGGCCTGTGATGGCACCTTCAAATCTGCCCCAAGGCCATTTGTGCAATGTTTTTGTATTGGTGCTTTTGTACGAGGTCGCATTGTTGTTTGTGTCCAAGCCCTTCTTCCAACCAAAAAGACAATTCATTATCAGGAGGTATTGAGAGAAGTAAGGCGCGCCATTAATCCAAATGAACCAAAAAGAGGTTTTCTAGATAATGGTTTTAAAAATTAGTTTTTTTAATTTTAAGTGATCTCAGATTTTGAAAAATCTGAAATTGTTGCTCTTCAATCAATCTTTCCTGCTGCTCAGCTGTCCGGTTGTTTGTTTCATTTTGGACAGTCTCTTTGGCGAAAATGGAGGCAATTTGGCCTAGATTATCTTCTAGGTAATGACACAGATGAAGGAGAACGTGCTAGGACTAATTTCAGGTTTTTATTTTTGGTAGTAACATAATACTAAAATTTATAGGCGGATTCTCGCCCTGGCTTTAATTCCGCCACAACATGTTAGACGTGGTTTTGGGCTTATTGTTACTTCCTCTCCGGCCTCCATGTCAACATTTATTGCTTATTTTGCGGCGACATATATTGGTTTAAGTCAAATTGAAAAACAATTGGGAGCAGAAGCATTTCAGCAAGGGGTCCGAGTGCATTCATTACAAGAAAACAGTGGAAATTTTACAGGTTTTCTATTTAATGTTCAATAATTCAAAACTAAATTAAGCTTTGGATGATCATTCTTTTCATCCCATTATTTCAACGCCTATCCACATGGAATCAACTGCACCTCCAACACCGTCAATTAGCCTAAGTACAATTGTGGAGATTCCTAGATGGGAGGTGCCATTAGTTCAAAGTCCTCAATATCCTATAGTATTTTGGAATGTGAATGATCGGGCCGTGAAAGCATTAGCTAAGACTAACAATGCGTTGGAGTCGAGTCACTACCATTTTGTGGTATTTCTTTTGTATTTTTTACTTTTCCAATTTTTTTATTCAGAAAAAAATTAACCATCATCCTTCAATGAGTGATTTTCTCTTGGCAATTTTGGATGATGTTGATAAACAAGTAGACATCGCTCGTTCTGCTACTACCTTTACACAACAACGAAAAAGAAAATATGTGATCAAGGAGTTTCAAGTTATGCACACATTAAATGAAGCCGAATACGCTGATAATAGACACCTTTTGAACGTTCTCACACTCCTTGGCTTACAAATGAGTGGCTATGTTGAGGGATTGCGAGTTGCTACACGTCAACATGAAGAACGTGATACTGAAGATGGAATTGATAGCGCAACTTTCGAAAGTCAAATTATTAGTCAAGATCATTTAGACACTTCTAGTTCATTATTTATTTATTAATATTTTACTTTATTTTTTATTATTGACTATTTAATTAGTATTTTATTGTTCAATGATTCTAGTTTTAATGAATTTTGTTCGGTGATTTAAAAAAAAATATAAATATTCTTTTATTTTGGTTAGTTTTTTATTCATTCCAGCAACTGCTAGTTGCAACAGTTGGCGCATCTTCCCGTTGTTTCATCCTACATGGTTGGAACAACCTTCTCCGAGTTTAAGGACTCGATATTTCAAGGATTGGATGAGTTGAGCGTTTTTGGCCGTGTAGATGAGTTAAGGATTAGATGAGTTAACGATTGGATGAGTTGACCCTTTTTGGCCGTGTAGATGAGTTAACGAATAGATGAGTTAACGATTAGATGAGTTGACCCTTTTTGGCCGTGTAGATGAGTTAACGAATAGATGAGTTAACGATTAGATGAGTTGTATAGGAGCCGAGAGGAAGGATATGGAGCGAGCGAGTTTTCCCATTTTGTAGTGGGACGTTTTGCGGTTGAAACATTATGAATGACCATTTTTTAGCGCGCCCAATAAACAAAAAAATTTTTTCAAAATTTGTGTCGAGGCTCGCCTCAAAATAAATTCTAAATTAATTTCTAAATATTTTAATTGTTAGGATCTCAACCCGTTTCATTGAACTCCCAACCCTGAACGTGTTCAATTCCAGATGTTCAAGAACTTCAGAACATTAATACTCAATTTTCCAGATACATTTAATTTATGCTTTAACTTTAATTATTGTTCCAATCAATATTAATGTTAGTCGCAATTAGACCTTGTTCATTTTTCCTTCCTTTTTCTGTAAAAAGCTTTAAGAAAGAAAAGCGGTGTAATAGTAAGGATTTAATGTAAAAGGAAACAAAAAACGCTCGGGGTGAAAGCAAGTGATTTTCTTTGCTTAAGACATATTTTGTTGTGAACCTGTAAGATGTCGAACATGCTGAAGAATCTAATTCAAATTCAACTACTACAACAAACAAAGTTGAAATGCGACAAGTGGCGAGCACGGCAGGTTTGAAATCAGCCTCGCAGCCAAGCAGAACCAGCTACCCGAGACGCAAGGACCATCTACCCGAGAAAATTTTTTCAAGTATTTTCCTCACAATACAGTAAAATCTTTTAATATCAAGTAGAACTTTTATTATTTAATTTATTGTCTTTAAAAAATCCTTAAATAATTCCTTGCCTTTAAAAACTTTTTATATTGATTTATTATAGTCGATTCATTAAAAAAAATTTTTTTTTGACTTTTTAAATTATTGGTAGATTTTCAATTGATTTTTCATAACATACTTATTGACAGAGTAAAGTACATAAGAGAATAGAGAAAGAAAAATCGAGTAAAATACATTAAGAAATTTTAAAAAATTATAGATATACCCATATATTCGCAACGTTTAAAACAGGCATTGCGGTTCTGTTTTTAGTTTCTCCAAATATTCGGGTCATATTATACACTCAGGTTCAAATAGAGACGTTTAATTTTCAGTTTTTCCATCCTATACTAGTTTAACAGAAAGAACTTTATCAAAATTTAAGCATGTTTTACTTGCTTGTTCGCCTATAACAAGAAAGCAAATGTCTGTTAATAAATAGAAATTTACTCAAGAAAAATTTCTTACTCTCCTTCCCTACACATTAAGAAGCGTTCTCATTTGCGACTATTTTATTTATTAAGAATACTCTATCTTTAATTCGAATTCTCTGCCTCTATCTGTGTGTAGCGAGGTTGGGGATGGAGCGGGCGATTAAGCGAGCGATTTAAATAACAGAAAATTGAATGAAGACGTTCATTTATGTATAAAAAATTTTTTAAGGAGTAAAAATTTTAGAATAGATTTTTTAAATGTTTAGCACTATTTCTAAATGTTGTAATGAACAGTTTAATAAATATACATCGCAGCTCCTGTTATAAAGACGGAATGTGGGATTAATCCGACGGGATCCCATTTAGTACTTTATTGATTTGCGTGATTTTTCCTATGCTGAGTTTATGTGGACTTAATTATTTTATTTGAGGGATTTTGTTAAATTGGGCATAGGTTTTGATATGCATTTTGTCTACTAGCACTTTACCTATCCATTTTATTAACATTAAAAAATTTGAAAAAAAGTTTGCCCTTTTAAATTTTTATAGATTGTTTTAGTTTTTCATAATATAGTTATTGAAAAAAAGATAAGGCAAAGAAAGGTAAGAGAAAAAATTTTACGTAGAATTATACAGGGTGTTTCAGATAAAAAACACTTTGAAATATCAATAACTTTTTGCTGCATTGACATATTTTAATGATATTTGGTATTTTGTATTTATAATTCATGGCACTCTCTAAATTTGAAACCTAACCCTTGATTTCAAATCCGTCTCTTCCGTTCTCTTTTCTCCCTCCTTTCATTGCGTGCGTTCTTACTTCATTTTTTCCTCTGAGTGGGGATAGACACACTAGAGTAGAAAAAGGACACATTAGAGGAGAAAAATTTTAAAAATTGTAATGTGCTCAAGGTCTATCGCCACTCGCAGCAAATAAAAAGAAGTAAGAAAGCACACGTCGAGCATACAATGAAAAGGGGAAAGAGAACGGTAGAGTACGGAATTATCTCGAGTTAGGGTTCGAATTTTCACATAGTTGTTATGTCAAAAAAATGCCATAAATTATAGCTAAAAAATACCAAATATCATTAAAATCTGTCAACGCAGTAAAAAGTTATTGATATTTCAAATTGTGCTTTTTATCTGAAACACCCTGTTTATATACCCGTTTTAGTCTTACTTTAGTTAAAAAGAAAAATTAAAAAAGGGAAAAATAGTGTTTTGCAAGATATTACAAAAAACGGTGACATATAAATATATTCAATTACATATTAATTAAGATTAAAAATGTTAAAACTAATTGTTTTAAACTGCATTTTGTTAATTTATTGTTTTATTCTTGTTGTTGGTATTGAAGAAGAAACTAACGAAGAAAATGAAATATTTTTCGATGCAAAGGAAAAATTCGACATTTCTTCTGAAATAGATGAAATTTATCAACATGTAAAGAATCAAATTGCTTGGATTTTGAAAAATCCTAATAAATGTGATGAACACGAGAAATGTGTAAATATGTTTTTGAATGATATGGCGATGTTTAATGATCAAGCCCGATTTGGAGGAATTTCTGCCTTCTGTGACGACAATTCGATTATTGGCAAGAAAGGCAAAATTGGGAATCCAATTAGGGTAACATTTTTAAGTATCCATTTTCACAAAATTTTTCTAATCTCCCCTTCCGTATTTCTCACATAAATATAAAAAATAAAGGTTTAATAATGTTTCCGCAAAATTCGGGTCCGCAAGCCACTTTAAAAAATTTCAAATAATTCTTAGGAAATGCTCAACGGCGAAATTAAAAATGATGACGCAAAAATTCGTTTGCATCTTTATACCGAATGTGTTGATAATTTCTTCAATAAAGATAGAGGACTTTTTAGAATGAAAAATTCAAAGCCTTTAGAATTCTCAGAGATTAACAAAAAACTTCTTCGAGCATTTTTGCTTACCAAACCTCTGTATATTGCTATTATAATATACGAATCAATTCAAAATAAAGACACAAATGCTTTATTAGAAATTGTTTCCACTCAAAAATTAGAGGAATTAAATGTGGCAATAAAGCTAATGATAGCTCTTCATCCGGATTTAAAATTGGTTAAATTGGACAATAATAAAGTTGATTTCAGCGAGTTTTCAACGAGTCAAAATGTGTTCGATGCTGAAAAACTTGAACAATTTTTGAATTGGCGTTTTGATCCAAATTGTAATGAAAAGCCCACAGAAGATAAGGTAAATTCTTGAAAATTTTTTCTAATCCTTAGCATGACTTTAAAATCATTTAAAAAATTTAGACTGGATGGTTAAGCAATTCAATGAAAAAGATTCAGAATTATGTGAAAAATACTAATCAAATGTGCCTAGAGAAGCATACAATTTCTGACTATATGGAAATGTTGGAAAATAAAAAAGAAGTAAATAATTTCTTTCTTCGTCGTTTCAATTGTGCGATGAAAATTTTTGAAAATCAAAATCAAGAAAAGACATCTTTACATGTGGATGACTTGATCCGAACACTTATTCTCTCATATATCGTTGATGAGGAAAGCATTACCCATCTAATGAAAGTAAATGAAAAGAAAGAGCTTGGAGATAAAATAAATAAAGCACATTTTAATCTTCAAGGATGGAATGACAAAGTTTTCAAATACGCATGCAAACGCCTTTTAAATCTTGGTAAGTTAAAGAGGAGAGAATAGTGAGAATTAAATAAATCTATCGCCTCTAATTTTTACCCTCGAAATGTATACCTTACAAGTATATTTAAATGACCTTCAATGGATAATGCATCGGGTCCTTAAATCTTTTTATTTTGATTTATAATTTACAGAACATGCTTCTCAAGTCATGTCCTACAACCGATTTATTGAACATTATGGAGAAAACGTTAAAGCATTCACAAATGCTTTAACAAACATTGAAAATCTTGTTAACATAAAAATTGAAAACAAAAAAGTCAAAATTACAAATGATAAGCTCTTTAATGCATTAAATAAAGTGCCAGGCTCTTCTATTCTCAAAGACCTTATTAAGGGGATAGATGATGGTATTTTGTTGCAGTTGGGTAAATTAAATACTGGAAAGATAAACGAGCAAAAGGGAAATGATTTGATTGTATTCATCTCAAATCATCTGCGTGCAGCATATTTAGCATTGGCTCTAGCATTGAATCACGTTGTGGAAAAAGTAGATGATAACGAGATCAAAGTTAAAGTTATTATTTTAAAAATATCTAACGTGCAATTAGACAAGATTAAATCAGTTAATTTTGATTCGATTAAAAAATTGTTGGATGAAATTTCATTGAAACTGTCCAAACAACACAGTGATTTTGTTAATGATTTGATAAATGAAATGATAAATTTGATTAATGATGTTGATTTTAAATGTGAGTAACTATATTGATTTGTAACTTATATAACTATTGATAATGGGCCAGCCACGCGTTGTTCCAAGTTCCTTCGGTACAAAATGAAAGTAGATATGTTGGTACGTGAAGTCGACTTAAGACAAGCGACTATTTTCTTTATCGGTCGATTATTTTGAACTGTGAACAGTCGATTGTGTTATTGTTGAAGGGCGATTAAAATAGGAGCACGGCCGTTTAATCGACTGTGAATAGTCGAATGTTGTTCTGTTGGAAGGTCGATAGTTTGTTCCGTTAGTCACTACTATTCAGTGCTATCTTGTATCTTGACTAAAAATTATTATTTTTTCAGATAGTGGAGATTCAAGTAACAATTTCTCACTAGATTTTGTTGATTTTCGAGCAATACAACTTTTTTATAGTGGAGAGAACAAAAGTTTTGTGGATCGTTTAATTGAGAAAATATTCAATTATTTGAAGAGACCAATTGATTGGATAAGAAATAAAGCTTCAAACAGCAAAAACATTGCGTTCCTAAATGAGTTTAAACAAATTAATTCGTTTGTGGTTGTTATTGAAAATTTTATAACGAAGAAAACACCCATAGAAAAGCTCTATTTTATACTCAGTAAAATCAAGAAGAATGGAGAAAAATTGTCGGAGAAATTACAAAATTTTCTGAGCAATGTTCTAAACAATTGGAATGATAAAATCAAATTAAAAGAAGAGTTTTTAGAATTATTTCCTTATATGACTGACTTTCGCAATACTTTAAAAATTGATGAAAACGAGGAAAATATTTTAACAAAAGAAGAGAGTGATAGAGAAACAGACAATTTAAACAAAACGACAAAGAATGAACTTAAAAAATCTTTTAAAGAAATAGTTAAATATGTAAAGCGATTTATGAGTAATCTTAAAAACAAATTGAACGAAAACCCGGTTAAAAATTATAAGAAAAATCATTGGCCAATTTTGGCAAAGTATTTTGATCGAGAAATTAACGTTGGTTTAAATTTACCGTATTTCTTTTAATAGTGTGACTCCTTCAATTAGACCGACCCCTTATAATAAACCGACCCTCTAGAGGAAGGTTGAAAAAAATAACTATTAGAAAAAATACGGTATCTAAAATAAATAATCAAAGCATCACTTAGTAAAAACAAGCAAAGTTATTTTAAGACTTTTTAAGAATGAGTTTAAGATATTAAATATTTTAATTAGATATTCTGAGCAAAAAGAGAAAAAATTGGAAAAATTCCAAGAGCTCGACTTTTATACATAATTTTATCAGGGCTTCGATCTCGAGTTTTTAAAAATCCGAAAAACTACAAGAAAATAAAAAATCCTCATGATAATAAAAAGAACACAAAATGAGAAATATCCGAATCGAAGCCCTGGTTTAATATCTAAATTTCAGAATGCTTTCAACCCTAATTCATTGACTTTGATTCGAAAGAAACGAGCCTACTGCTATGGTAATTGTATGCATTTAAGTCCCGAGGCAAATGCGATGATTTTACATGCTATTCTTAGCCTTGCCGGAGTTGTTGTGTTTTCTTGGATTGCAATAATCAGATTAGGAGGTTTAAAATGTCGAACCCCCGAAATTAAAGATTTTCTAAATTTATTTCGTCGACGACAGAACTCTCCTACAATTCCTCAACAACACAATTTTCCTCTTGAACCGTTGGAACCTCCCCGTCGATATAGTGAATACAATATTGATATGCCTCAATATGGACAATACCGTTACCGTCGAAATATTAAAGAAATGAATAAAGGTTATTTTTTTAAAATTGGGGGGAGGCGAAGAGGAGAAATTTCTTTAAGGGGAAATTTGGGGGAATAAAAAATTTGGTTGAAACATTGGGACCAAAGAAGCAAGAAAACTTTATTTTTTGGAAAGTTTTAGTTCACAGAAACAACTGAGCCGAGATACGGATAAAATTAAATAACCATGGGGGACCTAGTTAAGTCAATTTTCAGCTTTATAATAACGAAAATCTCCTTATTAGCGTAAAAAAGTTATACAACCAACACAGTTTTTTGTTAAATTTCAACTTTTTCTTGATTTTTGCACTAAATAACCCATAATTTACATGTTTCAATATTTATCTAAGTTTCGGCATTTTTTTCCGATATTTAGCCAATTTATTTCAACATTTTATATCCATATTTTGCGATATTATTTCGATAATAATCCGGGCCCTGTTGATCAAAATCAAGGAACTCCACAAAATTACTATGAACTTACATATAGTAAAGCAGCTGGGCTATAGCTATTTCTCTCCTTTAGCTAGTGCAAAAGGTTAGCCGCTACTGGGAGCGAACCAGCATCTTCAGTAGACCGGACTGATGTGTTAGCCATTACACCACACCGCCTACTGCATAGCCTTAGGAATTAAATATCTACATATATACTTTACAATATATTTTTTAGGAAAGATGTAATATTTAAAAAACATTTCTAATTTTCAGAATTAGTTCATTGAAATACCCCGAAACTTTTTCGAGGCGGGGTTCGGGTCGGGGAGAATTGTAAAAAAATCGTTCGGGAACTGGGTCGAGGTGCAACTCTCTGTTTAACGTGTCCTATACAGAGTCAAAAAACTAAAAAGCTAAAACTGTTTTAGGTATTTTCTGCAATAGCGGAGCATGTAAAGGCACAATAAGCTTCCACAAGGATGACAAGAAGAACAATTTGGAATTTTTTAAAAAACAAGGATGTCTTAACGATATTTTAAATAACGTAACTGGAAGTCAAAAAAATATTCGAAAAAAACGTTATGTTGAATGGTATTGTGGAAATTGGATTGTTTGGATTATTATCCTGACTCTTGTTGCTGTTTATGCCACAGGATTTTATCTTATTGCAGCGCATGTTCGTTGAACACGATTAGGAAGGACTTGGGAAGGAGATAAATTTTGATGATTTTTTATTTAAAAGAAGGGAAAAATGAGAAAAAACAAAAAAAAAGAAAAAAATGCAAAAAACAAAAAAAAAACAAAAACAAATTTTTAAAACCAAAAAATATGTATAAAACCTTGTATCACAAAATGAAAAATTCTAAAACTCAAAGAGTTGATATAAAGATAAAATCACAAAAAAATCAAAAAATTCACAAAAAAACAAAAGAAAATCATAACCATAAAAACAGTTAAATTTTTTGAAAAATTAAAAAAAGCTCGAATTTAGATCACTTATATCAAAATTCTTATTTAAAATTATTTTCATGTAATCTTTTGGTGTAGCTAAATTCGAGCTACAACCATATTTATTATGTAGATATTTTTATACACAATTATTTATCGTGATTTTTACCAAGATTTTTCACACATTTATTGGTTCTTGTCCGGTCTTATTTTACATTTTAAATGAGGAGGTTTTCATTATCGCTATGAAAATCCAATGCAAATTTCTAATCCCGACAAAATTTACAAGACAAAAAACTGGACAAGGAGCCATATATATCTTTACATAAAAATTTATCTTTAAAAGATGTTTTTTTTAATTTTGGGATATTTAAATTTTTCATATTTAATTTTTTAAATTTCATACATTTAATCTTCATATAAAAATTTTTTTGGGTTTTTGAGTTTGCCTAAAAAATCTAGATGAAACGGGTTATTAAGCACTAATTGTTTTATATTAGAGTGTACACCGTTATGCTTAAATAATTAACCTTTCTCAAATAATAGCCCCCTCTCAAATAATTACCCCAACTAGTCATAATTACCCCAACTAATCATAAACAAATTATAAAAATATTTTTTTAATCATTAAAAATTTTAATGATGGAAAATTTAATGGATAAATATAAAAATTAAATCGAAAGATTAATAGGATTTTGGGAAAATATCGAGGAATTTGTGAGGATTAAGAGATTTATCAAGGTATTTCCTTGAAATAAACCTTATTCCAATTATATCTCTCCAAAATCTCTGATATTCCTTAGATCCCTTCTTGAGCTCCTTAGATCCCTTCTTAAGCTTTTATCTTTATATATATCCCAAGAAGGAAGTGCTTTTATAGTATAACGTTATGTTATATTATACGGTAATGTTTTAAGTGAATTTTGGATTTCCATTGGAGTGTAAAATCCTAAACCCTGTTTCCAGACCCGGAAAAAATATTTTGCCTGCACTAATAAAAATTAATTACTATACTTACTTAGTAAACAATAAAAATGATGAGATGCTTATTTCAGAAGGTATAATATGTAAGTGTGTGATTCTATAATATTAGAGGGTGTGAATTTTATTTTTCAATCCTCTCGTAGGATGTGGTTATATTTGAAAGTGTGCTTCTATTCGAATTTGTGGTTAATATTAATAATTTTGACCTCCATGAATTAGATGATTTTTCGATATTATATTGTAATCTGACAACCCCCGAAATTTTTTAAAGCAAAAAACGGTGCCTTACCCTTAACAATTATGGATAATAGTAATTGTTTGTTTTATGTTTAGTTATTTTTAAATGTAATTTATTTTTATTGTAAATTAATTTAAGACTTTCATGGCAAATTTTATTCATCAATTTAATTTGAATTAATTTACTTTCCAAAAATATTCTTTATAATTATATCCATCTTTTTGTCTGCCAAATTCTTTCTTTTTAAAAATTAACTATAATATTAGAAATAGATAAAATTGTTGTGCATCTCCCCAGTCTTCGTCAAAATAATAATCTATAAGCGAATACGATTTAATAATTCCAGTTTCTTGTGAATATATGCCAAAATTAATGTAACAAAACATGCCAAAGTAAGCTTCGTCTCGTAAAAAAAGGTAATTATGAAATCCTCTATCTATAGTTAATTCAACTTCAGATTCTATATCATTTGCAATCACCGTAAGATTGGCCGTTTTTCTACTCTGCCTAAAATAATAAAAAAATAATGTTTAAATTTTAACTTTATTCAGATCTTATAGGCATCAACTTTTCCAAGACCGAAGTGTGATTAATAATTTAAATATTAGAACGACCAACCTATCAATATCAAATAATTAGGGTTGAGGTTTTCGAGTTAGAGGTTAGACAGATCTGCTATCCGAATCGAAAATTTCGGCTCCAGGTCAGGGATGGACGCAATTGAAAGACACGTAATTTTAAAATCAAGCAAACGCAATACGCAATCCGCACTTTTGAATATTAGAGTAATCTGGGGATATCTCCAAATCACCAGATATTTCTCCAAATCTCAAACCCCCAAATAGGGTTGCCAAAATGGACCGACTCGGACCGAAAGATCGAGTCATGCCTCGATGTTTGGCCCGAAAAAGTCTCGTACCGGCCCGACTCGATAAAGTTGGGCCCGAAAAAGACTCGTAACGGCCCGACTCGATAAAGTTAGGCCCGAAAGTGACTCGTACCGGCCCGACTCGATAAAAACAGGCCCGAAAAAAATTGTCTCGGAAAAAGTCGGCCCGACTCGAACAAGACTTGATAATATTTTTACCAGATTTGTGGACAAAATGGGAGAAATCTGGCTCCTTGGCCTTCCAAAATTCAAAAAATTTTCGCCTGCGGCGCTGAAAAAAGAAGAAATTTGGTCCTTAGCCTTCCGAATATCTCAAAATTTTTGCCTGCGGCGCTGAAATGAAGGATTTTTAGCTCCATACTTTGCTTCACATCTCGAACTTACTGGCTTTAATCGATAAGCTGGATTACTGGGATTTATAGGCTATATTCCGCGGGATCCCATCATCATTTGAACTTTCGAAACTCAATCAGTTTTGAGAGTCCACAATTTTCCGCAGTCCGCAATTTTAACTTTAAAATACGCAGTCGTAATCTTCAGTCCACAAGTCAAAAACACACAATCTTACGCAATCCGCAGTCCACCATCCGGGATATAAGGTGTAATCTGGGAATATAAAGCGGTTTGAGTGATTAAGTCAAGGGCGTATCCAGGGGTCCAAAATTCTCAAAGTTTTCGCCTGCGGCGCTAAAAATAGAAGAAATCTGGTTTCCTGACTTTCCAGTAAGCCCTTATCTAAATACGAATAGTTCGATCATGGTACACTGG